CTGTAGTGTTCCACATCTGGACACATCCGAACCACGAGAGGAGCGCAACAAATATATGTACTGATTGTGCTCCTCGCCTCAAAGCTGCTTTACTCATTATGTATCCGGATGTGGAATACTACACCAAACTATACACTGTATAATAAATTCATTTCAAAATAGTACACCCAGTAATGTACTGTTTTAACGAATAACATGTTATATCCTCCCTTGGAAGATTACCTATACTTGTCTACCCACCAGCGATGAATCCCCCGCGGGCCCGCGGGCCCGCGGTCATAACCGTGGTGTCAAACTCGAATTGCGGTCGGGATCCCAACCACCAGCCATGGCCCGAGCAGTTGGGTGCAGCCAAGAATTTGACATATTAAAAATAACGGACAAAAAAAAAACAAAAATACAGGTTTGTGGGGTTTGAAAATCCATACAACCCTATATATTTTTTTTTGGATTAAGTGTTTTTTAAGAGAAAAAGAAAAAATAAGTATTTTAATCAAAATAAACTTAATAAATGCCCCAGTACTTGCCAACTTTTCCTAGGCGCTATTGCAAAAGGCCAAGGCCCAAACGGGGCAGTCCAGATCTCTTTCGCCAAGTGGCACCGGCGGGACATTGGGGGTTTGGGAAGGAGATAGAGGAGACAAGGGGATGTCACATCAATCATCACTCATCATCATTTCTGTGCTTCATTGAACATTGTTAACTCCACCACTAGTTAACGTGTATTGAATTTTGAAAAAGAAGTTTTGATGACTATACAGCGTGGCTTCGCCAAGGTGTGCTGTACTGCTTGCTTGCTTGCAGATACTGAATACCTACATACGTACCAAGGCCCAAACGGGGCAGTCCAGATTGCAAAGTTGAACACCCACCTGACAGGGGCACAACACAAAGATTTCAGCCCAAAAGGCCATTCCGCTCTACCCACATCTTTCAGGAGCATTTTGGCATATTTCTCAACCTAAGGGGGTGTTTTGCAAATTATCCCTGAAAAATAAATAAATAAATAAAATTAGCCTCAATCCTGAAGGCTCGAGGTCGTTGACCACTTGCTGTAAAACTCTCCTCTAGTGACTCCACACTGATACCCCTCAAATCCGATCCCTCCCGAGCGTCATCGACAACATCACCGTGAGGATGGGGGACTTGCCCACGAATGAAAAATAACACAATCCAAAGGCCACGTAACCAACAGACAAAAACAAAAGAGTTCAATAAAAGACAACAGCAACAATAGAGTCCAGTAAAAGACAAGCCACTTTGTGCAGAGGAGACAGACACACTCGATGGTACCACCTTAACAGTCACAATTTCTTTTTATTTTCTTTTTTTTTCTTTCCTTTTTCTCAATGACAGTTCCATTCCGAAGTAAACACCTAAGTTCCAATTTCAAAAACCGCAACACGATATTTTCCACATTTGTTTTTCTCCCCAACCCCAGATGATTGTGACACTTCACATTTTTTCCACAACCGGATTGAGACACGAAGCAGAACAATACAACTTCCTTCAACGAGAGCATGTAGTTTTTACTATATAACGCTGTCAACACTCGAAGACTTTTATTTTTATTTTTTTTCTCAGAAAAGAACAAATTTCCTTCTCCATCCTCCTCATCATGAGGTAGCACACAATACAATTTTCACCCATTTTCCTCTCTCACGCCAGATAGTATTGATTACCCAACTTCTGGTTTTAAACTCGTCCTCTGCCGCTGAAGGGGTATATTGAATCCCCGAACAAGGTGAATTCCTCCCCAACTCTATATAAAACCCCCTTCAATCCAGAGAGGGGTCGCCTGATAAAAAAAGATTCGCCCCATGGGTAATCTCGGCAGCGCACAAACAGAAAAACACCTGTAGATGACGGCGTCTTCGAAACTCCGACCCGCAGGGGTCGATGCCAAGAGGTTACCCACCACTGCCACAGTGCCACTGGCTACCATGTCTCCACTCGCTATTGCAATGTCAACCCTCTCTTTTTTCTTTACTATTATTTTTAATGACATTCATACCTTCGTTCTTCTGTCTTTTTTTTTACAACAACAACCTTCCCATTGAGATACCGGGGGCCATGTCCCACTAGTGGGGGTTTAGTTTTCGTGTATTTTTCAACGTCGTCACATCGTCGCCGTGGAATTATCAGATCGGATGGCAGGGAGCCCTGCATACTTGAAACCAGAACTAACACCTCGTCAAGTGGGGCATGGCCCCGGGCTCGGGCTCCATGGGACGGCCAGGAAAAGGGAGGTCGGTCATCGAGGCTCTCCAACAAAGGAGGTCGGTCATCGAGGCTCTCTAGGTCGGTCATCGAGGCTCTCTATCGGTCATCGAGGCTCTCTGACATCCCCCCTTCAAGTCAGACCCCCCTATCCCAACCCCAATTGACTACCTCTCTCCGCAGTGCGCACGAGCGAGGTCTTGCCTCCTGAATGGGGACGCCTGCACGGGTTCCCCCCTTCCCCAAAACACAACGCTCTTCAGATCCCACACCCCCTGGGGTACTTGCCAACCGCCCTTGGGACCTTAAGCCTTAGGTCCCAAGGTCCCAGTTCCACAGCTGCCTGGGAGTCTTTCAACTTTTAAAATCCTAGTGTGATTATTACAAAATACGACCAAGTACTCATACAAATGTATATTTGACCATCTTCATAAAACAACCCTTCTTATCGTCATCACCATCGCTTTCTCCTCCTTCCCTACTCCCCTCCAACGTACTCGCCCTACTTCCCATCATTATCTCCATGATCTTCCGTCATTCACCGAGAGGCGGCCTCGCTAGTGCAGTAGAAGACCCATTTGCAGATCCCATCGTGTTGTCCCCTCAGCCATATCACACGTCATCAGGAAACCCTCGGTTTCACCGATCGTAAACCCATCCATCCATGCACGGCCAACAACGATCCGAGTGGATGTCAGACAGTTCTTCAATAACCCACCTCCAGATCACGTCGTCTTCTCCCCACAGCCACGTGTGTCGTACAACCTTTCAAAAAAGAATTGTTTTTTTCCGTACACCCATCGCCACCTGACCGACAACGATCTGAGTCAAAGCAAACAAAAGACCTTCAGTCGACCAACCTGCGAGGCTCAGCGGGGTTCACCATCGCGCATCTGCTCTTCTTCACTCGACAAATCGATATCAACAAATTCTGACGTTCTGCCCGGTGAGACGACCGGATTCCACTTAGCGATTCACGACGCGGCCACGGACATTGGTACTTGTTTCTTCTTCGATCGCTTATTAATCTGCCCGATTAAAAGACGACGGCTTCACGCTGCGGCCGATGCTGCTTGCTGCCCAACCTTAGAGATCCTCTCCGTCACTTCCCTGGATCGTCCTCTCAAACGATCGAGAACTCTCTGCATCGCATCGCCGCCCGGGGGCATCGGACCCCGGTTGTAACGGTAGATCCACCACCCAGCCGCACCCGTCAAGCCTGCCAACACTGGGGAGCACGAAGCAACACGCACACGTTACAACAACACAATCCAAAGGCACGTTAGTAGATCGTTCGTTCTTAGCGAAACCCGCACAAAATCAGGAAACGTTCATTTTCATCAATATGTATAGCCCCGCTCACTCACTTCGGAAACATTCACTGCATCGGGTCAATCTCGATACCCTCATATGAGCGTAGCGCAAAGGAAAACAAACGTCAGAAACAGACGGGAACGTGCGCGCGGCTTCGTGTATGCTACTTAATGACGTCACTTTTTTTTTTTCTGGTCTTTTTTTTTTGTGGGAGTAGCGGAGGGCTTCGTTTTTGTGTTCCGTAACACATCAACCCTTCGCAACGTCTATCACGAATCAAGCTCTGTCACCCCGCCGCTTTCTCTGTCGCACAGCTCCGTCCTACACCCGCCTTGCTTCATTTGATGTCACACAATCATTTGCACTGTCTCTGTTTAGTCGGTCAGGCCATCATTTGCACACCCGCCTGTCACATAGCCGTTAGTCAGTCTCTCATTCCACCCGTCACTCAACCGTTTGCCCTGTAACACAGCCGTTCGCTATGTCACACCACCGTTAGTCGCTCTGTCATTACACTCACTCAACTGTTTAGTAAGTCACTTTACCGTTTGCCTTGTCACACAGCCGTTTGCTCCGTCACACACCCGCCTGTCAGACAATCGTTCGTGTCTGTCACACACCCGCCCGGCTAACAGGTCAGGTCCACACAAGCGGGTGCCGTTACCCCTCGTCCGTCTTCTGCACCCGCACTTATCCCAACCAGCAAGCCAGCGTAATGGTTCGCCTTTTCCTCGCTTTTTTCCGTTACTCCAACTCGCCAATTAACTTGCCCCGCCCAGCTCACCCCCACTTAATATTAAAAGCCAGCGCCAAGTAACACTATAGCGTTTTTTTCCGTTACTCCTACTCGCCAATTAACTTGCCCCGCCCAGCTCACCCCCACTTGATTTAAAGGCCAGCGCCAAGTAACACTATAGCGTTCACTATTCGCTTCCCTTTGCCGCCGAACAAACAATTAACCCGCTGCCAAACAGAATAACCCTACATACAGTAGATAGCTAGATAGCCCATCAAAGAAGAAGAGAAACGAAGATATCATTATTCGACTGACTGGGACCTAGATCGTTCAGAATAGGGCAAACTACGCGGAAGCCAAAATAATGAGTTATAATTGTAGTACGGGCCAAGATACAGTTTGCAAATGCAGTTCGGTCGATGTATACAACCCATCTTTCTGGCCAGGTAGGGTGCCCCAAGTGCAATTGCAAACTCTACCTTTGACATCTGCTTCCAGTGGTATTGGCGCTCAGGTCTGTATACCGACAGATGAGTGGCGTGCCGACTGAGCTAGGCCACACTACACGTACAGAACACGAGCACCATCATTTAGTCCATCCGGAACAGTGGTTAAAAGAACGAGACAAAAAGATTAGCATCCCCCTGCGAAAGGATGCAAGGAGAAACGTGGAAATGGCCACCAAAAAAAAAAACATACAAAAAGATTAGCATACACAAAAAAAAAAAAAAAAAAAAAAAAAAAAAAAAAACCGTCGAAAAAGATTTGCATGCTCCCTGCGAAACCACAACTTCAGATTGGCCACCATCATTTGGAATTTCGCCGACCTGGTTTCTCAGTGCTACCACCGATATACTTTTTTGAAACCAGTCTTTTTGCACTACCTATCTGTGTACTCTCTCTCTCTCTCTCTCTCTCTCTCTCTCTCTCTCTCTCTCTCTCTCTCTCTCTCTCTATTTCTCCCTCCCTATCTCTACTGGGTTCTCACGTGTGCGTGCGAAAGTCTAGAGCGCTGTGAAACTGTGGTATGCCGACTGTTCTTTCAAAATCTCGAGCCCTCTGCTCGTCTGGCGCGCGAGTGCCTTTGTTCCATATCCCTGCGAAAGAATGCAAGGAGAAACGAGGAAATGGCCACCAAAAAAAAAAAAACAGATTACCATGCACAAAAAAAAAAACCAAAAAACCGTCCAAAAAGATTAGAAAGGATGCAAAGAGAAACCAACAAACTCGGACCCCGCCAATATTTCGCAGTGAAACTCCCGCGATGCGCTATTTTTGAAACTCACACTAAGCAAAAAATTGAGCTGAATCGAGAGGCGTCGTGGCTTGCCTACCTGTGAAGAGCAGCATGATGCCGCCCGTRGTGACGAAGAAGATGAGCGCCGGGATACCGACGAAAAGAAGCAGAGGGATCCAGAGCGGGGCCGTGCAGAAGCCTACGGCGCATGTGCAAGGAGACGTAAGGAGAAGCAACAAGCCGCCAATGAGGACCACTGGCAGGCCGAGAAGAAGCAGGCCCCCAAGCACAGCCCCCGCTACGGCCAAAGCCCCTCCAATGGCGCTCATCTTCCTCCAGCTCATCCGGCGGAGGCCTGGCACGTCAACCCAGGGCTTGGGCTCCGCCATATTTGACAGCGTCGACTGATTTCTCGCCTAATTAATAGCGGGAAGCGAGCACGCAACTCTGCAAAGCGCCACCTTCCTTCCACTGAAGCCACCGTCAGCTGCCGCAAAGGCCAACAGCAGGTACACAACAACCACGGTAATCAGTGAGTAACTTCATCAGTCAGTCCAATTACCATACAAAATGAATGGGTCCCGCCCCACCACTCACCAAATGTGCAAATTGAGAAAGAATCTTGCGCTAGAACATATAGACACATCAATATCGCCATGTTTTTACGTCTTTTATGCATGTGGACATTTAGAGACTAGTGGAGCGAGGCAAACTGTCCTTCAGCCACAAAACATCCAGCGCCGTTGATTCAGCGTTTGGTTTACAACCACAACAAAAACAACGACGACGACGACGACAAAAACAGGTAGGGAACGTAAGCGCCCAAGAAGACAACACACAACAGTCGGACGTTAAATGAAGCTCAATCTAAGCCATACGATGTTAACCGTGATGTAAAGCGGGTGCCGTTAGCGTTAGCTCACGACAGTGAAACCCATCTGTCGTCATTATTGTTCTGAGCTAACGGCCTTTGATGCCCGAACCTGGACACGTTTGAGGGAAGGTGCAAGGAGTCAGGATAATTCTGCACCTCTCGGCGGT